CAGACTGGACGTGGGGCTCCTGCCCAGGCAGTGGGCTCTGGAGCCTGTGGCCTCCAGGCCAGCCTGCCTCCACCGAGTGAGGCAGACCTCCCAGTTCTCCCAGGGTGGTGGGGCCGCCCCTGGAGCCCCTGGAGGATATTGGCAGAATACGTGAAGGGGAGGAGCCTGCAGGGGAAACCTGCCCACCTGTTTGATTCTTAAGACTGGGTTCCTTTTCCCTTAGAAGACATTAAAGAATTACCTTCCTGTCTCCACAAACTCTTCCCATGCAAGCTCAAATTCTTGTCTCAGGAGAGTAGATTGAACGTCCAAGCATGCAACAGGCAATCATGATTTTTGGAAAAGGGTCATCTCTTCACCAGGATGCCCTTCTAGCTCCTCCCTGCCTCCACCTCCTCTGCTCCCTCTCCCATCCCTAAGTCCAGCCCAATTGCTGCATCCATACCAGGCTCTTTCCTGCCACAGGACCCTTGCACATGCTGCCAACTGGGAAGATTGTCTTGGCACTTTGCCTCACTGACAGCATCTTGATGTTCATTTCTCAGGGTGTCGCCTCCTCAGAGAGACTTTCTGTGACCACTCTATCCAAAATCGGGGATATTCCCCCCATAGCGCTTTGTTATTTTCGTTCACAATCAAACACAATCTGTAAGCAATTGAGAGACTTTCCTGGTGGTCCAGTGGTTAAAAATCTGCCTTGCAGTGCAGGAGACTCAGGTTCAACCCCTGGTGGGGGAGCTAAGCCCCACCTGCTTCAGGGCGACCAACCCCGGGCGCTGCAGCTCCGGAGCTCGCACACCAGGCGAGTCCGTGCACCTCGATGAAAGGCTGCGCGCCGCAGCTAAGACCCGGCGCGGTCAGATAAGTAAGTAAAGTTTTTTTTAGATGTGCTTCCGGCCGCAAAGTCCATGCTTTAAAAGAAAAATCTTCAAGTGACTGTATACTCACTGCTGGCCCCCCACCCATCACCCACCCAAGGGGTGCGGCATGTGACCTATTTATCCGCCAGCACAGCGACAGTCACTCGCTGAACTTCTGGCCACTCCCCTCAAAGAAACCCAGGAGCTTGTTATAGGAAGCCCTGGGGTCCACATGTCAGAACCCCGACAGTGTCAGCTACATCCTCCCACCGCTTTTGCAGACGAGAAAGTTGCTCAGAGAGATTAGGCATCTTCCTTGAGGTCTCTTGGGCCCTGGGGTTTGTACTACTAGCCCACAGGATCCCCAAGGACAGGCAGGACACCAAGGATTGGGCACAATGGTGCATCCACTACGGAGAACCTTCTGGCCATTCTCTACAATGTTAGAACTACCTGTGACCCAGCAATTCTACTCCTAGGCAGGTGCCCAAAGAAATTGAAAACGTAGGTTCACACAAAAACCTGCATACATAATAGTCAGAAAGCATGGAATTGACCCAAACGTCTATTAGCTGATACGGAGAAAGAAAATGTGCTATAGCCATACGATGAAATAGTATTTGGCCATGAAACGGAATGATGTTTGGATAAATGCTAATAATACAATGTGAATGAATCCTGAAGACATTACTCTAAGAGAAGGAAGCCAGACACAAAAGCCCAAACACTTAGGATCCCGTTTATGTGAAATGCTCAGAATCTGCAAACCCGTGGAGAGGGAAAGCAGGCGGATGGTTACCGGGGGCTGGAGGGAGACTGGAAATGGTTGTGGGTCTTCTTTCAGGGTGATGAGAACGTTTTGACACTGATGCAGTGATGGCGCACAACACGACAAAAACCCATCGAACCATACGCCTTAAATGGGTGAATTAGTGAATCGATATGGTTGATCGTCACAGCCAGGGCTGCAAGTCTTTCTGTGAGAGTGGGACTAATGGGGTCTCCCACCCTCTGGGCGCAATAGGAGGACAGGGGGTGGGGGCTGGGTCACCCTGAGCGGTGGCCCGGGGCACCCCTGGCTGTAGTACCACTGCCCACCAGCAGGTGGCAGTGACCTCAGCGACAAGCCCGAGGTGGGCCCGGCAGACCGAGGACCCAGGGGCTTCCTCCCACCCACGGTGCCTCCGTCCTGCTGGGTGGCACCCTGGGTCAGGCGGTCGGGGAGAAGTCGGTCATCAGTTCAGAGCTGACTCCACCTGGGAGGACGGGACCACGCCCGCCACCCCGACTTGCCTGCCCAGGAGGACACTTAGAAGGCAGAGGGCCCTTCCCAAGGCCCAAGGATCGGGCAAGGCAGGGAGCAGGCAGTGGACTGGGCCCTGGGTAAGGCGTGCACCCGGTGCCTACCGGTGCTGGCTGGATGGGAGATAGTGAGCCCTTCGCTCTGCCGAGAGGGTGTTTATCTGTATAAGATGGTGGTTATGATGCTGGTGGCGATAACAGTGGGGGGTGGGGAGGAAGAGGAAGAAGAGATGCAGGTATTGGGCACCTGCCCGCAGCACTTTGATCTGCATCTCAGCTCTGAGCTGGGTTCTAATTCTCTCCACTTGACGGCTGAGGAGCCGAGACTCAGAGAAGGGAGGCTACCTGCCCAAGGTCACACAGCTTCACAGCTTCCAAGGTTGGAGCTCCCATTCAAATCCAACCATCTGGCTCCAGAACCAAGCTTAAGTTCAGTCAGTTCAATCGCTCAGTTGTGTCCGACTCTTTGCGACCCCATGGACTGCAGCACGCCAGGCTTCCCTGTCCATCACCAACTTCTGGAGCTTGCTCAAACTCATGTTCATTGAGTTGATGATGCCATCCAACCATCTCATCCTCTGTCGTCCTCTTCTCCTTAGGCTCAAGTCACCTTAAAAAAGGGCTCAATTTCACACTTTTGTCTTTGGGGCCTTGATTTAAACCAGTGGTTCTCAAAATGTGACCTGTTTCTCCTTTCTTCGGGTTTGGCTAAAAATGCATTCCCAGGAAAAGGGCCCAGCAGTCTGGGTGTTAACCAGATCTCCAGGCAATGCGCTAGCATTTGGGAATCCCTGAGTTAGAGGGACATCTTTACGGGTTGCTCACATGTATTAACTTAGCACATAAAATGCTTTGCGTGTGCTTTCTACTCATCAGTTCAGTGTAGTCACTCAATCGTGTCCAACTCTTTGTGACCCCATGGACTGCAGCACACCAGGCCTTCTTGTCCATCACCATCTGCCAGAGTTTGCTCAACCCCGTGTCCATTGAGTCATTGATGCATCCAACCATCTCATCCTCTGTCGCCCCCTTCTCCTCCTGCCTTCAATCTTTCCCAGCATCAGGGTCTTCTCCAATGAGTCAGTTGTTCTCATCAGGTGGCCAAAGTATTGGGCCTTCAGCTTTAGCATCAGTCCTTCCAGTGAATATTCAGGACTGATTTCCTTTAGGATTGACTGGTTGGAACTCCTTGCAGTCCAAGGGACTCTCAAGAGTCTTTTCCAACACCATAGTTCAAAAGCATCAATTCTTCAGTGCTCAGCTTCCTTTATGGTCCAACTCTCACATCCAAACATGACTACTGGAAAAACCATAGCTTTGACTAGACGGACCCTTGTTGTCAAAGTCTGTTTCTGCTTTTTAATAAGCTGTCTAGGTTAGTCATAGCTTTTCTTCTACCCATCAGCACACTGAATTCTCCCAGTGACTCTGTCAGGCTGGTGGTTATGCCCCCCATTTCACAGCAGGGGAGACTGAAGCTCAGGGCTAAAGCTCTAAGTCTCTAGCGGTGAGGTGTGAGCCTAGACGAGGCTGGGTCTGAGTGCTCCCCTGTGGACAGACAACGGCCCCGAGGGACCTGGCTGCCCCTGACATGCTTGCTTTCTTTCTCTGCAGGCTGAGAGCTGGATAACGAAGTGCTACCTGTACCCAGGCATGTGAGTCTTGAGAAAGTCATGGTCCCTGAAATATGGGCATCATTTTCTAGGCATGTCTTGAGCTTTCTGCTGGAAAGAGACAATCAGGAGTGGGAGCAGTCATAACAGCTCCCCTAGAGCTCACCACACCTCGTCTGGGGCATCCCACACCCCATCAACATCTGATTGGGTCCCTCCAATTCTCACAGCTGCACCCCCACCTTGAGATTGCTTTTGGGACCAAATGGATTTGGATTAATAGCTCATCCTGGCTCCAATTAACCTTCTCGGGGTATCTGTTTTCCCTCTATGACTTAGCCTTCAGCTCAGCTATAAGGGTCAGAAAACTCAAGTGTACTTTAAACAAGATAAAGATGTATATCTCTCATGCAAAGGATGCCCAGGGTGATCAGTCTGCTTCACATTCACTGGGGACTCTGCTTCCTCCCATCTTTCTCCTTCATAGTCATCATGTGGGTTTGACCTCATGATATAAAATAGCTGCCTGGGCTCCAGTCATCACATCCACAGTCCATACAACAGCAACAAAGAGACAGGCAAGTCCCCACCTTCACAGGACATCTCCCAGAAGTCACAGGTAAGGTGTTGTTTACCTCCCATTGGCCAGAATACTCACTAGGTGTTGCTTACCTTTCACCGGCCAGGCTTCAGTCATATGGCTGCTCCAAGCTACAGGGGAAGCTGGGAAATGTAGTCTTTACTCCAGGCAGTATTACTTTGGCAAAACCCCAAGTTTCTATTTCCAAGGAAAAAAGAAAGGATATTGGGCATCTCTGCCTCCTTACACTGGGCACCAGGATGCCTCCACCACCTGTGTGCCTTCTGGGCCATCAAGTCCTTTCTCCTGTGGCGGCTTCTTCAAGTGTCAGGAGCACAGGAGAACAATGTGTGGCCATTGGATGTCGTCCCTGCTGCAAGAGCAGAGTTAAGATTTATTGCCAGGCCAGCCCGAGGCCACCTGCTGGAGGTCAGAGCCCCTGCCAGCCCCACCCGGAGCCCGGCCCCAGGAGCGTCCCTACCCAGGGCCCAAGGGGCGCTCGAGGCTTTTCCAACAGGACACTGTGCGGCTGTTATCAGAGGCCCCTCCCTGGGCAGGGCCAGGGGCTGGTGCCCTCACCTGTCACTCCCACCCTCCCCTGGACCGGGGTCGTCTAGGGGGCTGCCAGTCAGGCCAGAATCGTCCTCAAAATCGCAGCTCCAAGCGAGTGGGGAGGCAGGGCAGGGGAGGGGCGGAGGGGGCTGCCAGCCCCTTGGGGGAGCCATGTGCTGGTCCCAGGAGCTGACGGTTCCCGGATTCTAGAAGTTCCAGCCTCTTCCTGGTGGTGGCAGGGGTGGTGGGGGCACAGGTGGTGAGTCTCAGCCCCGAGTTCGGCTCCTCCTGGGCCTGAGGCTCCCGGCTCCTCCCAGAGCGATGCTGGAAGGTGGGAGCAGGGCAGGGGCCCTGTGTGGCCACTGGACTGCCCTCCGTGGGGCCGTGGTCATGGCAGCCCAGCCGGGACCTGCACGGGCTCACAGCTGGATGTTGGCTCCAGTCCAGTAGCTTCTTCCTGGCAGAGAGAACCAGTAGCCCCCCTTTCCTATGGCCAGAATGCCACCGTGACTCAGGAAGGCTGGGGTGGGCTGGGGGGGGATGGCCTCGGGCCAGGAGTGGAGGTTCTTGTCCTGCCAGCCCGGCCCCCCGCCACGGGAGAGCCCTGGGCACGTGGCTTCTCGCGTGGGCCTCATGATTGCTCTAACAGGTAGGTACTGTTATCATCACCCCCATCTTTTCCAGCGAGGAGCAGTTCAGAGAGGTGAAGCCTTCCGCCTGAGGTCACACAGCAGCGGCTCTGCGCGGTCAGAGCGCAGCAGGGCCTGAGTTCAGGTCTGGCTCCACTCCTTACTCACTGCTGCGTGGGTGGGACTGTTGTGCTACCCCCGAGCCTGCTTCTCCCTGTGAAATGAGGGTGCCCATCGCAGCCCCCTACCTGCTCGAGAACCTTGTGAGCCAGGCAGTTTGAGACCCCCAGGTGAGAAGGTCTGTGGGTCTCTAAGGCAGAGGGTCCCCGAGGTCACTGGTCCCAGCCCCCCACGTGATGTCCATGCCAGCCCAGGTGGGTTTCTGGAGGGCTGGCCCACCTTGAGAGTCTGGGGTCCTATAGGAGGTGCAGTTGAGGGGGATGAGGCTGGAACTGCAGTCCTGGTCAAAGAGGCGGTGACCCCTTGTCACTGGGAAAATCTCACCCCGCCCACCCCCGGTCTCTCCTGTGTTCCCGCCAGCATGGACGGAGCTCTGTCCCCAGAGCTGTCGCCGAGGGGTGGCCGTGGCGCGGCCGCCCCCAGCGGCAGGTGGTGCTGTCTCCCCGACGGTGGGGAAGGCCCCTGTGGTCCCGTCCATGTTCCCCGCCCGCTCTCGTTCCTATCCAGATGCTCACTAACCCCCCACGTGCCGGCCTGGCACGATCCTGGCGGAGAGAGGACGGAGGGCCAGTCCGGCTCTGGCTCTGAGCAGCTGATGTGGTGGAGGCCCCCATAGGATACATGAGGGGCAAATAGGTACTTTCAGACCTGCCATTTCACAAAGTCAAGCTTGGAGGGTGACGTGCTGGGGGGACAGGAGACTCTTTGGCCAAGAAGATCTGTCTGGGGAGGTGACCTCCAAGCTGAGATCTGAGTGATTGAAAGAAGGGAGCCAGCAAGTGCAAAGGCCCTGTGGTCGGGAGAGTCCTGCCCCAGGCCCCAGGCAGCCAGGCCAGCTGAGGGGCACCAGGAGCAGGGGTGGAGGGGCAGAGGTGGGGGGAGGCAGGGCGGCTGATGCCGATGCTGTGGTCTGCCTCTTGTTCTGTGTGTGGTCAGGGACTGGGTCTGGGCCCATGGCTCTGAGTGCAGGGGCAGAGGTCCCTCTGTGCTTGTCGGAGGTTGAGAGGACCTTGCCTTGGCCCACCCTGGCAAAGAGACCCCTGCTGCTCCCCAAAGGCGACTGGTGCCACTCCTGCAGCTGCTCAGCGACACCCCCCCACCCCAGCTTCCTGGCCGGGCCCTCCCTGGGTTCCCCCCGCCCCCGAGCTCAGGAACACCAATGTCAATATCAGCTCTGCTCCCTGAACCCTCAGCGCCACCTGCCTGAAATCCCAGCCCCAAGTTCTCTGAACAGGAAAACAGGAGAGCACGAGTGGGCCGTCGGCCTGCTCGGTGAGGGCCGTGTCTACTGTCTCAGGGCCGCTCAGATCTCTGGGGGAACCATGGAGACGACGAGGGATGAGAGGGAGGGGACACCCACGGCACAGACACCCACAGGGCCAGGTCAGCTCTGGCCTCCACCCAAGACACAGACATCAAAACCCATCTCAGCTGGGACTGGCACGTGTGCACCGCCACGTGTGAAGCAGCCTGTGGGCACTGCCGCGCCGCACGTGGAGCTCAGCTCGGGGCTCAGGGCTGACCTGGGGGGCGGGACAGGGGAGCGGGCGGGAGGGCCGGGCGGGAAGGGCTGTGCGTGCATCTGGCTGATTCGCTTTGCCGTCGTAGAGCGGAAACTAGCCCAGCATTGTAAAGCAACTATACCCCCAATAAATTAAAAAAAAAACAAACTCAAAACTGTCAAAGTTATCAACACAAGGCTGGTCTGAGAAACTGTCAGGAGAAGAGCCTCGGGAGAGGGGTCAACCAGATGGGACGAGGGCTCCTGGGGCGGAAAAAGACATTAGGGAGAAGCTAATGAAATTCGCTTAAAGCCTGGACATGAGTTAATAACAGTGTCAGGATCGGTTCATTAACGGGAACAAGAGTAGCGCACAAACACGAGATGCTAATAATCGGGAGCCTGGGTGTGGGACACGCAGGAACCCTCTGCACTGTCCGGGTAACTTTCCTATTAATGCAAAACAACTATAAAATTAAAAGTTATTAACAAATAAAATAGAAATCCAGTTTCATTGCTTGCCTGTCAAATTAGTAAAGACTAGCAGGGTAAAGGTCCTTATAGTCAAAGTTATGGTTTTTCTAAGGATGTTTTTATGGTTTTCTACGTATGTTTCTATGGATATGGTTTCTCTGTGGATGTTGGACCATAAAGAAGACCAAGTGCAAAAGAATTGATGTTTTTGAATTGCAGTGCTGGAGAAGACTCTTGAGAGCCCTTGGACAGCAAGGAGATCAAGCCAGTAAATCCTAAAGGAAACCCACCCTGAATATTCATTGGAAGCACTGATGCTGAAGCTGAAGCTTTGGCCACGTGATGCAAAGAGCCAACTCACAGGAAAAGACCCTGATGCTGGGAAAGATTGAAGGCAAAAGGAGAAGGAGGCGGCAGAGGATGAGATGGTTGGATGGTATCACTGACTCAATGGACATGAATCTGAGCAAGTTCTGGGAGACAGTGAAGGACAGAGGACCTGGCATGCTGCAGTCCACAGGGCTGCAAAGAGGTGGACATGACCTAGCTACTGAACAGCAAGGGCGACAAGGCAGGAAAAAACAAAAAGAAAACCGACTTACCCAGAGCTGCTGAGGATGTGGTTAAATGGGCAGCTTCTGACATACTGCAGTCAGAGTACATGGGAACTTCTGAGGACTGTAAAGTTCCAGCCGAAAGTTCTTGACCTGAATCCAGAGAGTCTGCTTTTGAAGATCACACCTCAAATGCAGAAAAAAAAAAGCTCATGCACAAAGATGGTCATCACAGCATTGTTGATAATAGAAAAAAAAAATGATAGCAAAGAGAAAAAAAAAAACCCACCTCAGAAACTATCTAACATCAGAAACAGAGCAGGATGGTTAAACCACTATAGAAGTCAGAAGTTTACAAAGACCATGCAACGACGTGGGACAGTGGGATACTTCTATGAAGTGACAACAAAGGTTTTATTTGCAGGATGGTTCACACGTTCGTCTGGCTGTCCGCCAAATGTATTTATTGAGGCTTGGCTGTGCTAGGCGGGCGCCCTATGCTTAGGAGGAATTAACCAGGAAGCCAGAGGTTATCACCCCCTGGGGCAAGGGTGTCAATGGGCGTGATCATGCTGGACCTTGAAGCCAGGGAGGGGCTTTCCGATGTTGAGTCAATCAGCCTACCGAGAAGGGGGGATGTGGTCTCCAGGGGGGATGCAGAGGGGATGGAGTCCCATCGGGTGGGACCGTGCCAAGAGTTAGAGGCAGAGCCAAGGCCATCGGATCCCCGTCTGTGGTGTGGAGCCGCAGGTATAGATGCAGAGACCACTCCACCCCCAAAGAATGGATAAAGAAGATGTGGCACATAGATATACAGAGGAATACTACACAGCCATGAAAAAGAATGAAGTCTTGCCATTTGCAGCAACATGGATAGACCTAGAGATTATCATACTAAGTGAAGTACGTCAGAGAAATACCATATGATGTCACTTATATGTGTCATATAAAAAAGTGATACAAATGAAATTATTTATAAAACAGAGACAGACTCACAGACATAGAAAGCAAACTTATGGTTACCAAAGACAAAAAGGAAAGAAGGATAAGTTAGGAGTTTGGGATTAATTTATACACATTACTCTATATAAGATAAATAAACAAGGACCTACTACTGTAAAGCATGGAGCTATATTCAATATCTTGTAATAATATATCATAGGAAAGAATCAGAAAAAGAATATATATAAATATATATATATCTAATATATACGTATATCTGCATTCCTGTGCTGTAACCTGAAATATCATAAATCAACTATAGTTCAACTCATTCCAGGGGGCGCTAGTGATAAAGAACTCGCCTGCCAATGTGGGAGACATAAGAGACGCAGGTGCCATCTCTGGATGAGGAATCTCTCCTGGAGAAGGAAATGGTTACCCACTTCAGCATCCTTGCCTGGAGAATCCCATGGACACAGGAGCCTGGAGGGCGACAGTCCATAGTCTTGCAAAGAGTCGGACATGGCTGAAGAGATTTAGCAAGCTCAATAGTTCAATAAAAAAAATTAAAATTAAAAAAAAAAAAGAGGAAACGACCAGATCAAATTGCTTCCGGAGTCAGGGCCCTGGGCTCTGGCCCCATCACCCCTGCTGCATTGTGGGGGCCCACTCACCGTGACCTGTGCCCCCGGCCGGAGGAAGCGGCCCTCCCCTCAGCGCTATCAGGGCCTCCATCTCACGGGCCTTTCTGCTCCTGCATTCTGGGCGGGGTGATCAAGACGGACGGAGGCTGGGCCCCTTCGGAGTGCACGGTCACTGCTTCTGGTGTGTCCACATCCCCTGCCCGCTGGGACCACAGTGGCTCGTGAGAAACCAAACATCCCAGTCTCACTGACCCCTGGGTCCTGGGGAGAAGAGCCACGCAGTCAGGGGGCCCGGGCTGTGACTGAGGTTGGCAGGAAGCCGGTTTAGCAGGCCCGGGGCACCTGAGTTAAAGTGGAAGCTCCAGGCCCCTCTGTTGCCTTGAAGAGCAGGGTCCTTCCACCCACAAAGGCCCTTGCTGCTCTGAAAGGCGCCTGTGAATAGAGGTCAGGGCTCTTATCTTCCTCGTTCTTGCTGAATCCCTACCAGGAGGGTAGGAGGGGACTGAGGCTCAGAAACGCGGGGGCTCAGAAACTGAGCTCAGAAACACAGCAGGTCGAGCCCC